GCTCAAACATATCTCCTGTGCTCCAACCCCTTGAATGCAACCTGGGAGAAAACAGATTAAGACACAGTTTTTGTATATGCCAGATTTTCTGATCCCTCTCCTGGGATGAAATTTGTTGTGTAAATTAAATGCACAGATAAAATTCATAAGGATTGTTTCAGAATATGAATTTAAGAAATGGTCTGAAACTAGAAAAGATAAAAGAAAATAAATTTGTAGATATGGAAATAAATTTTAGTATGGAAAATTAGAAAGCAAAGGAAATGTTTCTGGATGATAAAGTATTTTACATGGTAAAGTAATATTCTTGTGCTAAAGTCCAAGAAGAAAGGACAAAACTAAGGTTATAAACAAATTGTAAAATGTCTAAGTATGTTGCAGATGGTTTGTGGAAGAAAAACATCTCAAAAAGTTTCAGTATGGGATTAAGTTGGCTATAATTAGCACAGTCAAGCATTCAAATTTCAATGTAGTGATATGAAGCAAAGTCTGAAACATTGATCTGCTCTTATCTATCAAGACAATTTTCTTGTATCTATTAGGTTTTATTACTTTGAGAAACTAAGTCTAAAAAGAATTAGGATTTGTACCTGCTTTAAAGTCTTTTAAATGATCTGTTCATAACTGGTTAAATAAACAACTTTTATTTTAGGTTACAATATAATTGACACCCTAAATATATGCAAATATATATATATATATATATAATCTGATAACTATATCTGTCTGAGCCTTTTCTACATGTTATGTAAAAGTTTATAAAATGAATGTTGATCTAGGTTTACTGGCAAGGTAATCAATCAATAAGTATTCTTTTTGATCTGACATAGAAAGACCACACTGCCATCTAATGATCTATCTTATATCTGTTTGCTTTGACTAAATCTATTTCTGATCATTAACACTGTTTCCTAAATATATAATAGATTTAAGGCTACCATATGATTTTTGCTAATACTGCTAACCTATGCAGACCTGTGACTATTGTTACTTACACTGTGCATTCCAAACTGTACTTTAAAAGTTAAACTTAGTTAAATGTAAAGCTTAGGAGAGTACTTTGTCAAGTTCACATTCTCAAAACTAAAATTATCTGTAGCAAAATCCTCCTTCAGATTTATGTAGAAATAACAAACATTCATTTCATTTGATGTTTTATGACTGGATAAAGTAACCTGTTATCAATGAGTTATATATACAATTTTGTGTTACTCTTTACATTGGAATAGAAATTTAAAATGTGTTTTTGAAAAATAATAAGGAGAACCTGATCTGTTTAAAGGTGATATTGTATAACATGGAAACATTTTGCCACTTTTTCCATAAAAAGAAAGTTTAAAGCTCTCTTAGCCTTTGATTCATGTTTCAAATGAAATGTACTGGGTTATTTGTCAAGAGCCCCACCTTACTGAGGTAAGGCTCTGCCTCTCACTTTACTCTGTGTTAAAATGACTGAAAAATAGGCTAAACTTGGACCATTTAAAGTGGTATTCCAAAGATCGATTTTTGTTGTAAAGATTACTGTGATCATGGGCTGGGGATACAGCTCAGTTGGTAGAGTGCCTGCCTTACATACAGAAGGCCCTGAGATTAATCCCCAGCACCACAAAAATGGAAAAAAAAAAGATTATTATGTTCTCAAAATAAACAGGGGATATAATACATAACTAAGTAAAAGTTTAAGATTATAAAAATCATTTTATTTGGTTCGTAGCTATTACACAAACTGAATATGTTTTTGCTCTATTAATTTCATTTTGTATTTTCCTGGTAAACTTTATAACTGTTACTTGTCAGTGTTTTGCAGAGGTACTGCTTCTAATTCAACCACCTGGGTTAATTTGGAAAAATAAGTTTTCACCTATAGGACAGATAGGATCTAATGCTGGCTTCCACTTCTACTAGTGATCCCAATTAAATGAAAGGGATAACTGTAAAACTATAGATATTGAAGTTGTAATCTGTTATTCCCCCTTTAAGACTGATGAAATTGGTCTGGTGCATGTTTAAAACCAAAAATTGGAGACCAAAGTCAAGGAAGTAAAAAGGCCAAGGAAAAAACAGCCAACATTTTGACCCTTGCCCTCTAAGGTTAGCCAGGACCCAGAGAATAACAATTAAAATAATAATTTCTGGGCCCTGAAATTCCAGTGAGTCACCTGATCTGTTGATCAGGGAGATCAAGATGACTTTAGAGAACAGGAAGCCAACCAGTGTACATTCTGAAAAGAGGAGGGTCATTGGAGAGGAAATGTTCCTGATGCTTCCAAGAGAAGCCAAGTATGGTCAGCAAGACTTTTGACCCATCCTAGCAGATGGTACCACTGGTACAGGAAAGCTAAAGGAGCCAAGGATCTTCGCACACATCTCCAAGAATTATCTCTGAGGAATCTTAGCTAACTCTGAATAGTACATAGGAACAAGACATACAGTTGTGTCAGCCCTACCCAAAGTGAATAAAGCCAGAGCCTCTAAAGGAAGGGTTCTTGTGTGAGAGAGCCTAATAATACTGATCATAAAGGACTCAAGAGCCACAAGTGTGTCCTGAGTTAATTTGAGCCTGATCTTACAGACTTACAAATCTTCCTACCCTTATATGTTGATAAACTCGATCTGTTTTCTGCAGATAATGACTATGGGTTACTGTCTTCATGGTTTTCAGGGACTGCCTGAAATACTAATTGATTTTATACTAACTATTTACCAAAAAAATAATGCTGATTCCCTCCCCTATGTATGCCTTGTCCAGTCACCTGCCATCTGTCACTATGGGCCTCTGGACTGCTCTGATGCTGAATACCCTTAACTGTCCACACCCCACCTGATAGAGAACAAGAATTTTGGATTACTTCCCCAACTTTGCACTCTTTCAGCAGCAAGTAGCATGGAGATGGTGTCACCCATTTTTTCATAGAAATGGAATGCAGAAATTGACAGTGTAGAAATGTAACAGTGGTCCACTTTATGCTTTGAATATAGCTCTTGCTGCCCTATCACTGCAGCTTAGTTTTTAAATGGACATATTTCTTTCTCTTTCTTTCTTTCTCTCTCCCTACTCCTCCCTAATCTCTCTCCCTTTCTAATATCAGAGGAAACAGGATTACCTTTCTTTTCCATTTTAGACAGATTTATCTGTCCTGAGAATACAACCACCATAGAAATGAAGTAATATAGACAGACTTTGGATATGGTAAAAGAGGATCTCAGAAATGACTATCCCCGAAATTAACAACAGAATTACAACTCCAACAGAGAATATGTGGAATGTAGCCTTTGAATCACCTCTTTAAAAGCTGATGGGCAGAATCATAGCCTCTGGCACAGGAGTCCCATGTATTTCTCATTTTCTAGCAAATCAATAAACCTTCTTTTTCCTTTTTCTCAAAGATAGATAGATAGATACCAAAAAGCTTCTACATAGCAAGGAAAATAATTAACAGCATGAAAAGAGAAGCTAGAGAATGGGAGATCCTTGCCAGCTGCACCTCAGATAGGGCATTAATATCCAGAATATACAAAGAACTCAAAAAACTTAACACCAAAGCCACAAATACCCAATAAGTAAATGGGCAAAACGACTTAACTGATATGTCTCAAAAGAAAAAATACAAATGGCCATCAAGTATATAAAAAAAATTAAACATCTATAGTAATTATGTAATTAAAATCAAAACCACAACAAGATTTCATCTCACTCCAGTCAGAATAGTGATTATCAAGAAACAAATAATAAAAAAGAAGAATATGAATAAAAATAAGTGTTGGTGAAGATGCAGGGAAAAGGTATACTCATACATTGTTGGTAGGACTGCAAATTAGCACAACCACTCTGGAAGGTATATGGAGATTCAAAAAATAAGGAATGAAACCACCTTATAACCCAGGTATCCCACTCCTTGGTATATTTCAAAAAGATCTAAAAATCATCATGCTACAGAAATTCAGTCACATCAATGTTTATAGCAGCACACGTCACAATAGCCAAACTATGGAACCAGCTTAGATGTCCATCAACTGAATAGATATTACTCAGCCATAAAAAGGAATGAAATGATGTCATTTGCTGGCAAATGGATGTAACTGGAAACTAAAATGCTAAGTGAAATAAGTAAGACCCAAAAAGTCAAAGGTCAAATATTTTCTCTGATATGTGAAAGCTAGTCTAAAATAAAGAGGGATGAAAGAGAAAAGAAATGGGGAAAGAGGAATTCCAATAACAACAAAAAAGAAAGATTAGGGGAGTAACAGAAGGAAATTAGTTGGGAGGGAGGAGGGAGGGAATAAGGGGAAAACAGTGGAATGAATCTGAACTAACTTTCCAAGGTACATATATAAATATACCACAATGAACCTCACCATTATGTATATCTACAAGATGCTATTTTTAAAAATGTAAATAAATAGAAAGATTAATAGAGTAGAGGAAAGGGAATGGGGGAGGGAAAAGGGGTTAGGGTAAGTATTAGGGACTAAATTGGAGAAAATTATATTCCATGCATTTATAATTATGTCAAAATGAATCCTAATGCTATGTATTATATAACCATTCTGAGCCGATAACAAATCACGAAAAAATATGAGGGAAAGGAGAGCACTGAGTTACAATTAGAGTCATACGTCATTATATGCCACTGGAACCTACTAAATACACACTGAATGAATAAAATCACTGAAAATAAACAACACACATGTGAAAAGTCTCGTGTGACATCAGGAAGCTATTTTAAGGTTTTCGTTTTTAGAATATAATTATTGGCACTTTATTGCCTAATTGTCATATACATTCATTATTTAATGTAGTATATAATGTATAAGTCCTCCTGGCCAAAGAATTCCATATTAAATAGAAGATATTCTTTGAAAACATATGCTTCTGTCTATAATGGATTAAAAAAACTGTAAACATGAGTAAGAATTATGCATGCTTAAAGGTGAAACAGCTACAAACCTGTTCTCATTCCATATCAATAAATATGAAATGTATGTTAGAGAAGCCCCACTCACCTTATTCCAAGTAGTGTTTGCAGTTCGTAAGCTTTCTGAAAGTTTCTCTCTTTCGTGTAAGCTCAGACTTTTATCTGAGAGCATCTCCAGTTCAGTTCTATTCAGCCATTTGAGTTTTTCAGCTTCTACTTCCATCTCTTGGGTTAAGTCCTAAAGGAATCAAAGACAAGTTCAGCAGGACAATTGTTCTACTGGGCAAAATTCAAGAAATGTACTAAAAATCTCTTGGGAGAGCATTCTTATAAATGTGGGGTTTTAATTTCTCCAATGGAACATGAACTTACAAGATGCCTGAGCACATATTAAGAAACCGGAACAGAGAGACAATGAAGACACACCAAAGTGCAATTGTCTGTGCGTCCACAGGAACACACACTTCCATACTTTCTCTTTTAACAGGGTTATACTGTGTTTTCCTTTCTAAATTAACACTCTAGTCCTTCTCCCTCCTTCCCCTGAAACTGGGAGTTGAACCAAGGGGTACTCGACCACTGAACTACATCCCCAGCCCCCTGGATTTTTTATTTTGAGATGAGGGATCTCACTAAGTTGCTGATGCTGTCCTCAAGTCCACAATTCTCCTACCTCAGCCTCCTGAGTAGCTGATTACAGGCGTGTGCCACCACACACAGCTAACACTCTGTTCTTATCTCCACCTTGATACTCCGTCTTAATACAGGGTCCTTCCCTTTGTAATTCTTCCCAGATTGCTTGCAAAAGGGAAATTCTATTGATATTTTTATTAAAACAGGATAGTAGATATTTTCACATTTTGCAAAGAAAGCTTAATAAATGTTTTGCAACATATTTTTAATCATTATTAAAAAATGCCTTTCCCCAAATGCCCCAATCATATTCCTTTATGGACCAAATCTGTTATCCAGTCATTAAGTACCCTTTCACACATATTTTTATACATGCACATATGCATACACAGTCACACAATTGCTGTCTTGTTAGATATAAATGTGAACACATAATTCTTACTATTCTACAACATGTACTTGCACTAACAAAAACTATAAATACTTGTGATATAAAATTTTAGGGATATTTGGATATATTTATATACCTGCATATCTTTATGCATTTTTTGCTATTATATACATGAACAACTATAGACTATTCTTATCAGCTGCAACAAATAAAATTTCATTAAGACAATCATTACACTAACTCTCCAGTAAGTTCCAATGAATTATTGTGCACATTGCTCAAGAATTTTCTGTAAAACTCAACTTCATCAATAATAATCAGTGTTTATATTCCAAATCTAATAGCAAAAAAAACACCTATACTTCACAACAGTGTTAAATACTTTAATTATTTTTACATACTCTAAAAATCTGACCTAATACTAAGAGTATGGTGGTTTATCCTTTCTATGTGCATGAAGCTTTATCTCTGGAAGCTCAAAATTACAGCTGCTCTTAAAAAAAAAAATCCTCTTTAAATTCATCACATTTACACAAAGTACAAAGTTTCTTTCCTTTTCTTCTTTAGTCATGCAATGTCTTACATAAGAATAATGCCCGTGCATCAAAAGGCAATGGCAAATATAGAGACAAATGCACCACTTACTGCTAATTCCTGTAGGTTTCCTTCCAGCTCTGTAGTTGATCTCTTTTGCACAGTATTCTCAGCCTTCATTAACCAACAGATAATCTCATCTAGCTTTTTTCTATACCCCATCACTTGTTTACTTTCTCCTTTTAGCCTAAAAGAATTATTGAAAAATAATAAGAAAAAAAATCTCATTAAGAACATTATATATGTGCTTATGATATCCTGATTAACTCTCCAAAAAGAAATAATTTCTAACAATTATTTTTTTAATATTTATTTTTTAGTTGAAGTTGGACACAATACCTTTATTTTATTTATTTTTATGTGATGCTGATAATTGAACCCAGGGCCTTGCACGGGCTAGGCAAGTACTCTACTATTGAGTCACAACCCCAGCCCCTCTAACAATTATTTTTAATATGTGTTTTTAAATGAATGTTAATGATAATATATACATATGGCAGACTAAAGGCTACTTAATAAAAATAACAAGAATTTTTCCTTAATGCTATTCAAAAACATAGAAACTAAAGAATATTATATGTACTTTATATACAACTTTTTAAAGTTAGATACCACTGGGTAGTATAATAGAAATTTTTTAAAAACATGAAAAATGTCTTTATCTAAAATAATAAGGAAAAGCAAACAATTCTTTTTTGAGTACTTCATGCAGATAGAACAGCATCATTATATGGCGCATTATTCACATCAGGGGGCAACTTTTACTCTGCTTTATTCATAGGACAGAGAAAAAAGAGACAAAGTGCTGAGATTAGAAAAAGATTACAAGTATTGGAAAAAACAAGAAAAATGTAGAGTCGATTAGTTCTTTAAAGTAAGCATTATGCTTGAATATGGCACACAAAGTTATAAAAAGAGATCTAGGAAAAATACAGCAAAAGTTTTAAAGGATGCAAGGAAAACAGTCAGATGAATATAAAAATGGAACTGCCTTAATTAGCTCTTTTAAATGTTATAAGAATAACATTTATAAGAATACAAACCATCTGGAAGAAGATGAGAATATGATTAGAATTCATATGACAAACATAATTGGATACTTTTTTAAAGGGATTAAAAGCTATCAGGAGCTTAGTGGTATCATTATTTTTATAGTTGCTACAATTTGGTGCTGGTTGAAAAATTGAATGCCATTTTTTAATGAATTGCATGTATCATCCCTAATCAGAATGTACATGTTTAATGGCTATGCCTTAATCATGAGGCCTAACAAAATGATGTAGTAGATGCAATAAAATATTAAATACTTATATGCTTAATGGAGCTAATAATATTTAATATTACAAAACTAATGAAAATCACTAATAAATCAGAGTTCTTAATATCCATGAAGAAAATACTGTTTCAAGATTAAATAGCAGTAATATAAATTGTTAAGGTTACCAATACTAAAATGGGTAGTCTACCCTGAAAAGTATTTGATTTAAAAACTTTGGAAATGCCCAAAATACTAGTACCAGCCTTTTATTAAAAAAAAAAAAAAGTTGGAATTTAAGCTTCCAATATTTCATAATCATGATTAAATTAGTACTTTGAAAATAGAACTGAGAAGGAAACTAACATTATCAAGTGATTTTAATAAGACATATTTGAGTCACCAAAAACTTTTATCTGCAAACTACATATAATCTACAATTTAAATGTTAGCCCTAAGTATAAAAACAAATTACAAATTCCATTCAAATAGCAGATAACAATTGCTCATTAAGGAACAGCACAAATAGTTGAACTGTGCAAATATTTAGCTGCAGGCTTTCAATAAAAAAAAAAAAACTGTGTGATATTTCTCAATGACATTGATAACAGCATGCATACACACTCAATATTTTAAGGTAGTCTCAACATAAGCTAGGTCACAAACCCGAAGTTTAACATGCATTTATATAAACAAATATTGCTTTAGTCAAAATGCAACATCTGGAGCAAAAGATTCATTATTCCTTTCATGTTCAAGAAGTGAGTAAAATAGGCATAAACTTCACTTTGTTAGTTTCAAGCACAATAATTATCACACTCTATAGAGATCCATTTGTAAATCTATAGAAGAATTTCTGCTTGTGCACTGTTTCCCTGCAGAAAGCCCAGAAGTCACCTCACCTCGAGCCGGAAGAATTCTCCATGTGAAATCTCCCCTTGCAATTCTGCCCCAGGCTTCTAACCCTCCTCTTCACCTAATCCTCTTCAGGTCTCTCCCAGGGCCTCACTACTCATACCTCCCTCCTTTGCACGTCTGCTTTCTTTTCCCTAAAGGCTGCTCTAGTTTGGATACGGAATTTTACAAATATTAGGAGAAATGAGGAGAAAAAGATAAATTTGATTAATTTATTAAAAGAAGTATTATATTGGAATATAATCAGATGAGGCCCAAGTGTTAAAGGTTCGGTCTCCTCCTGGTGCTACTGGAAGTGAGTGGGAACAATCAGAGTTGGTAGAGGTGGGGCCAAATGAGACATCTTTAGATCACTAGGGGAATATCCTTGAAGGAGATAGTGGGATCTCGGCCCATTGCTCTTTTTTGCTTCTCTGCCATAAGCTATAAGCGCTTGGCTCCACCATGCATTCCTGATGATGTGGAAAAGTCTTTCAAATTGATTTATGGAAGAAGTTTAAAGGAGCAAGCTAGAAAAAGCCTAAAATGTTGTAAGTGATGCTTAACAGTTGATTCTGGTGGGGTCTCAAAAGACAAGACCATTGATAGGAGTGCAATTCTAAAGGTTATGTTAAGTAGGTTTTATATAAAAAGGAGGGTTTTGATGGTAATTGGACTACAGACCAACTTTGTTGCACTGTGGCAAAGAACTGAACTGCATTTTGTCCATTCCTTGGTACGTTTTGGGAAGCCAAGCCGAAAGGTGATGGATGGACTGGTTTGTCTAACACAGAAAATTTCAAAGCAGCCCAGTATTAAGGCAGCTTTTACTTTTACCAGGATTTACAGTAAAACCACAAAGAAAGAAAGAGATTTGGAAAACTGGCAGTTGTGCTAAAAGAGAAGCATGTGTATACTTACAGACAAGATGGGTGCTATTGTATTTGCTGGTGTCCTTAATAATAATCCAAGTTCACAAAAACAGACATGAAGACCAGTGGAACAGAACAGAAGACACAGAGACAAACTCACATAAATACGTTATGTCATACTAAACAAAGGTGCCTAAACATACAATGGAAAAAAGATAGACTCTTCAACAAATGGTACTGGGAAAACTGGAAATCCATATGTAGTAAAAAGAAATTGAACCCCAGTCTATCACCCTGCACAAAGCTCAACTCAAAGTTGATAAGGACCTAGGCATTAGACCAGAGACCCTGCGCCTAATAAAAAAAAAAAAAATAGGCCAAACTCTCCATCATGTCAGCTTAAGAACTGATTTCCACAATGAATCCTAAAGCACAAGAAGTAAAATCAAGAATCAACAAATGGGATGATATCAAACTAAAAACTTTCTCCACAACAAAGGAAACAATTAAGAACGTGAAGAGAGAGCCTATAGAATGGGAGAAAATCTTTACCACCTGCACCTCCAATAGGACATTAATCTCCAGGAAATATAAAGAACTCAAAAAGCTTAATACCAAAATAACAAATAACCCAATCAATAAATGGGCAAAGAACTGAACAGACACAGCAGCAGAAAAAGGCAGCAGCAGTATCAGCAGCCACTTGCTGCCACCAAGTATTTCTAGGTTCAGAAGGAAAAAAATAATAATATTCTGCCTTGGAAAAATAGGGAAATTTTCTAGAGGGACTCTCAGAAATTATCAAGGTCACAGCCATCACAGGCTCAGAGATTTGTAGAGATGCATATTGATTTTAAAGACTTTCCAGGGCAGAGTCTTTTGAGAAAAGAGTCTCTGGGCTCCCTGATTTCCCAGGACCACTGCCAACAAGGCACTCCATTGCAGCCATGGGTCAAGAGGGCCCAAGTACAGTTCACTCAGGCAGCATCCATATGATGCTTCTTTTGCAGATGTGTGAAATGAATCAGTTGTGGAATCAAGGAGGTTTCCACCAAGATTTCAAAGGAAAATCTGAGAGCCAGGAAGCATGTTATAGGGTAAGAGCTCCTGCAAGTAGCCTCCAACAGAGTGCAGCATAGAACTTTGAGAGCAAAGAACAAGCCTAATTAAGGACCCCAAGAAGATAGAAATGTTGGCAATGTGGAACATTTGCAGAGGGAAGCTGCAGGCAGTGATCCAAGCCAGCCCAGGACAGCGGCTATATGGGCTATAAACAAAACAGTGGGGGTGGGTCTCCCTGAACCCCTGAGAGACCACATCCCCCCAGTGTGCCCAGGATGCCAGTCATAGAGCAGGAGGATTTCACGTTCATCGTGCTAGGTTTCAGTCTTGCTTTTGTTTTCCTATTCCTGCCTTTTGGCATGGAAATAAATAACCCATGCCTCTCCTGCCATTATGTCTTGGAAGTTTATAACTTACATTTTGATTTCATACAGGGGCTCACGGTTGAGTTTTCTTTCAATCTTAAAGGGGAAATTGGCCTTAAACTTTTAAGAAATGCTAAAAGTGCTAAAACTTCAGGAATACTCTTGGGGATGAACTGAAGGCATTTTTCGTTGTGAAATGAACATAGATTTTTTTTGGAGGCCAGGGTACAATGCTGTAGTTTCGAATGTTCCCCCAAAGGCCCAAATGTTAAGACTTGCCCCCCAGCTCTTGCAATTAGAAGGTGGTAGAAACTTAAAGAGGAGAGGCCTCGCAGGAGGTCTTGAGATTATTGAGGGACATGACGTTCAAGGGGATAGTTGGATTACAGCCCCTTCCTCCACTCTTTTTTCTTCCCTATCATGAAATGAGTGGTTTGCTTCACTAAGCATTTCTACCATGACATGTTGCTGCAGGCCCCAAGTCAACAGGGTCAACCAATCATGGGCTGAAACCTGCAAAACTGTGACCAAATAAAGTTTTTCTTTTAAAAGTTGATTATTTCAGGTATTTGTTATCACAACAGGAAGCTGCCTATTAAAACAACACTCCCTAGAAGGAATTCATGGACCATGGCTACAAATACCTCAAAGCTCAGCATCCAATATCCTTCCTCTTTAAGACCTAAATTTCATAGTCCATCATATCTGCCTCTCCCCTATTAGAAACGTTTTTGGTAATCATTCTCTATATATTTTCATCTTTCAAAATTTTCTTCTTAGTCTCTGTTTCTTAGTGATATTTGTATCCTCAAGACTAAACATAGGCTCAATAACTGTTGATCAAATCAATCAATCATTGGCAAAATTTAGCAAGAACATTCTGGAGAATAAGTTCTAGAATAACTTACTTTTATAAGAAATAGATGATTTTAGAGTTAACTAGGGGAGACCGGGGTTGTGGCTCAGCAGTAGAGCGCTTGCCTAGCATGGGCAAGGCCCTGGGTTCCATCTTCAGCACCATAAAAAAAATATTAAATAAAATAAAGGTATTATGCCCAACTACAACTAAAAAAATATTTTTTTTAAAAAAAAAGAGTTAACTATGAACAGTCAAGGCATGAATGCTTTGCAAACATTGTCTCATTTAATCCTCATTGGAACATAATTCTCATTTAGAGAGTGGAAAACTTCAGCCAGAGAGCTCTGGGGCTTTTCTAGGTTTATACTGCATAATACTTGTTAGCACCTACTTTCTATGAAACTTTGGACAAGTTACTTAACCTCTCCTGGTGAAGCCCCAGTTTCCACAGCTATAGCAAGTTTCCTCAGAGAGTGTCTATCAGGATTGAATGAGACAATGTGTGCAAAGTCCCAAATTCTCTCTCTGCCACATAGTGATCTCTCAATCAACACATACCAATTATTGCCTGACTGTAACCAGAACGTAAGAAATGCAGACTTTTTACAATAAAAAGAAGCCACAGGCCATACCATACTATTAATGCCATATATAATATTATAATAATGTACTTGATAAAGTGTTAGACAAACGAATAGCTTATAACAGTTATAATACATTATAACAGAAATAATGTATCATCCACAGAGTTCAAACTAGCAGAAAAAAAAAATCTTCAACTTTTTAACCCAAAACTACAATGAAAACCACAACAAGGGCTGGAGATGGGGCTTAATGGTAGAGCATTTGTCTAGCACTCAACAGGAACTGGGTTTGATCCTCAGCACCACAGCACTCCCCCCCAAAAATCATCAATAAGACTGGATACATTAAGCAAAGTAGAAATTGTTCACTAAATTTCTAATTTCTCAGAAAATGACTTAAAATAATTTTAAATGTAGAATACAAAGAGAGAACATTATATACACTAGTTATCAAACATATTTCCAATCAGTTGATACCTTCACAGAATCTGGGACACTGTAGCATAGTCGGTTATACATATTCTACTGTTATACATATTATACATATTATACATAGTAGAACATGTTATACATATTCTACTACCTAGATAAGGGGTTGATACGTGGGGATAGAGCACATCCTTCAACACTAAGGACAACCTAGTGGGATGGGTAACTAAGGCAGACTCAGCCAGCAAATGAGTGAGGCAAGGCCCCGCCAGACCTGTGTTCTTTCAACTACCTGATGTTCCATCATAATCATCATTATCAGGATGCTCAGAAACAAAAAGAATGGAGTTTGTTTTTACATACATATCTTAGTAGAAAATCAACTTCATGATCAACCTAAAAATAATGAGGACATGGACAGTGGGAGCCTTAACTGTCAGTAAAATTCTTCATTATAATATCAGATGATAAAAGACCTTGGGACAGGTTGGATTGTATCTTAAAAGATTCAACCCACACACACTCCCTCCTGTACCCTCAAATGACTTCGGCGGAATCACCTGGGCTGCCTGTCCTTCACTTCGGCAACGACTGCGCTCCAACGTCGGTTGACCCCTGCCAGCTTGTCTTTCAGGAAGCTTCCATCTGCTGGGGACAGTCTCTGCACAATCCCATCACCAGCTCGATTGACTGCGACCAGGCTGGGCTGATGGCTGCTGATGCCCTCTTCAAGCTCCTGTGACAGAGCACAAGCCAAAGTTAATTCCATGACACAATTCAACTGTTCTGACGCCATGCACCTACCCGAATACTGTGGCATCAGCTCAAGTGTTAGAGAAGCAGATTCCTGGAGGGGTGTTTTATGTTCATAACAAAAGACATTTTAAAACAACTTAATTACATTGCAAGGAACACAGTCAATGAAATTTATCTTGAAGCTGAACCCACCCTCAGGAATGTCATCAGGCAAAATAATGTGAAATAGGACAGCTTAATATCATAAAACAAACAACAGCTGTGTACTTTGAAGCCGAAGCATCAATCAAGTTTGATTAAAGTGAATTGCTCATCTTCTTCCAAACAACTGCTTAAATGCATCTCTTTAAAAAAAAAAAAAATTACCCACCATATATTCCTGGCAATACATAAATATATATCCTGCAATATATAAAGAAACTTCAATGTCCTTTGTGCTGAAACAATGCTTCACTGGTCTGCAGAAAGTTTTCAGTAACAAATTTTAAAGGGATATTTTAAAGTCAAATTTAAACATTTATCTGTACCTCCAAAACCATAAAAATTCATTAACATATTAAAGAGAAAAATAAAGCATATCTATTTAATTCCTTATGAACCTTCTACAGAAAATACATTTTAAAAATTTAATAAAAGAGAAAATATTTTATCAGTGGTAAAACTGAAATTTACTTTGCTTTCTATCATTATTTTTAAAGATCTATTGTTATCAGAAATGATGTTGCTATTGTGTTATGTATTCCCAGAACTGAATTAGACTTACATGAGCAGCTGTCCTGCTGTAGATCAAGAAAAATTTAATTTTATGATAATTATCTATGATGCAAAGTGTTTGAGGACAAAAAGTCACAGCTAAGGTATGTATATATTTTTCTGTGGTTGATATAAGTTTGGGTACAAAATTTTACAAACGTTATCCTGAATACAAATTCAGGAAATGAGAGGAAATCATTCTTACACAATTTTTTAAATGAGATTGTTTCTCATATTAGCCACCAATGAGCAGTTTTATTTAAACTTCTTTAAAATCCTGATAGAAAACTATATATGACCAGTTTTCTTGTAAACCCTGGAAACCAGAAATTAAATTAGGAATAAAAATTACAAACTACAAATGTACTCCTGAAAAATTAATATATGCAGTTCATACTTCTGAAATCTGTCTTAACAGCCACATGCTAAATACATATGCAACCTTTTGGCAGATCCCCTTTCAAGAACAGAAAGTGCTCACCTGCTGATGCATCCTGGCATTGTCTAAGTCCAGGCTGCCATCTGGAGCGCAGGTGTCCCCCAGTAACTCTTCAGCTTCCGTTATCCACTGTGTGAGGTCGTTCAGGTCACAGTGGAACTGTCTCCATTCTTCCACAGCCCTATCAAAATGACTAGTGGACAAGAAACAAAATAGGTTTGTGAACTCTCCAGTACTGCCTAGAACCAATTTTTCTAAAAAAAATTCAAATACCATTTAAAATGAAAGCCCACAACTGAGTGGATTCACAGCTATTACACTACAAGACAAATTTTCGTAGTGGGTTGTAGTTAATAATTCCTCTTAGAGAAACAAGCATCATAACAAAAGCAAAGCAAAAAGCAAATACCACCCTTCCCTCTACTATCCCCACCACCACCACCCGCCCAACACACATACCAAGAGAGCTTTTAATATAGAAAGATTTAGCCTTCTCTGGCTTGCAAAACCAAAAGTGATTAGCTTAGACATGTTAGCCTACCCAACATTATATATTTAACATGCAAATACCATAGATTATAAAACATGATCAATTATTCTCTTAGAAATGAAACATGTTGTTTTACTACCAGAACAATTAGTTTGAAGCTAGAACAGGAAGCCAAGACACCTCAGATGCTTCACAATTTTCAAAATTTCCTTATACTCCATTATCTCTGTCCTATGGACTGAATTCTGTCCCTCCAAAATTTACACGTGAAAGCCTTAATCTTAAAGATGACTACTTGAAGATAGGGATTTTAAGGTGGCACATGTCTGTAATCCCAGCAATTTGGGAGGCTAAGGCAGGAGGATTATGAGTTCAAAGCCAGCCTTAACAACTTAGCAAGGCCCTAAGAACTTAGCAAGACCTTGTTGCTAAATAAAATATTAAAAAAGGAAAAAGTGGCTGAGGATATGGCTCAGTGATTAAGCTCTCTGGTTCAATCCCCAGTACCAAAAAAATAAAAAATAAAAAGAACAAAAAGAAGAAAGAATGAACATGATCAATACACTACAACCAATAAAATAAGATTCAACACTTCAAGTAAATGAAACCAAGTAAATAAAGAAAATAAAGCAATAAAGTAAAAGATATAATAGAGAAGGCTTTTCTAACAAAAGAGAAGATAGCCCTGCACTTACAATTTTGAAAATCCCCTGGAATAAATTATTTCCCAAAGGAAACATTTTTACAATCAAGAAAATAGTATGTGTGTCTGCAATCAACATTACTAATTAACACAGTTATTGAAGTTCCACCACATTAGCAACATACGTATATGCAAATAAGATAATTAAAAAAGAAAAGTTATCATTATATACACATAGTATGTTGATAAATGAAAAGGCCAACACAATCAACTTTATATCCATAGACACACACACTCTTACATACATGGTACAGAAAAAAGGTAACATATACCATCACTTCAAAAATAAAAAAGAAAAATGTATAACTCTTTTGTAATAGTCCTGATGAGAAAGTTTTACTAACCCTTCAAACTTTACTGATCTCAAAGGAAACAAATAATAAAAATAATTTCAAATTGAACAGTCTTCCATGAATTAATTAAAATGATTACAAGATTTCACTGGAAAAATACAAAAGATTTTTAGAATAACTGGTGGGGAAAGAACATTAATTTCAGAATAATCTGGGAAAATTTATTGTACTGGATGAATAAATTTGTTTTAAAAATGAAAATATGGTATTTGCTTTAAAATAATGGTATTATTAAGACAGAATTAGAAAAATTAAATAAATATATTTTAAATTATGATTTAAAGGAAGTATCACCACAAAAAAGAGATAAATTCATTTAATAAAAAGTAATGAAAATGTAGGCTGTTCCTTTAAGAAAAATGAAGCCAAATAGAGCTAATCAGTGCTTCTTAATTCAGGCAGCATAAAAAATTTGCTGAACAATGTTTAAGAAGTGTAAATACAGCCAGGCAATGTGATTCATGCCTATAATCCCAGCTACCTGAGAGGCTGAGGCAGGACAATCAAAAGTTGGAGCCCAGCCTGGGCAACTTAAGAAGACCATGTCTCAAAATTTAAAAAAAAAGAAGGGGGCAAGGGGCTAGCAGCACTGCCCAGTGATAGAACCCAGTACCAACACAAAAGAAAGGTAGAGATACATGAATCCTACTCATGCTACTGAAGCTGGTGTATAGTACATATCAAAATAAATTTCAGATGATTCGATTATTAACTGTGCATTTTAAATTAAGCAAATAAAAAATTGGGTCTTGTTGTTGTTTGCCAGGGTAGGAGGAAGCATTGTGGATTGAATCAGTGGGCACTTTACCAATGAGCTACAACCCCAGTCATTCTCATTTTTTATTTTGAGACTAAGTTGTCCAAGCTGGCCTCAAACTTGGGGTCCTCCTGCCTCAGCCTCAGGTCACTGGGATTACAAGCATGCAACATTGTGCCTGGCTAAAAAAAAAAAATTTTAAGTGTACATAAATATTTGCTTCATAGTAAAAAGTTAACTTATATGCATATGTTTCATTTAAATTAATGAAATCACAAAGAATTATAAGAGAATTACATAAAATTTTCCACATCTCAAAAAAACCACCATTAGCAAAATTAAAGGACACAGAAAAGCTGTGTCCACTTAAACAACAAGAAATAAAACCACAAATAGCTTCTATCTTTAATAAAAAAAAAAAGTTTTGCAAAAAAAAAGAAAAGGGAAAACAAGGGTAAAAAAAAAGAGCAAATCTGAGGCAAAGAAAACATATATAAGAATATTCAAATCTCACTGATAACAAGGTGAAAATAAAACTGAAATGGAACCTATTGCTATAAAATTGGCAAAGCTGTTTTTAAAAAATCCTGTCAACATTATCCAGGTTCAAAAGGAAGAACACATTCATGAAGACTGTCGGCAGAAGAACAATAATCCAGGGCTGGGGTTGTAGCTCAGTGGAAGAGCACTTGCCTCGCTTGTGTGAGGCACCCGGTTCAGTTCTCAGCACCACATATAAATAAATAAAATAAAGGTCCAGCAACAACTAAAAAATATTTTTAAAAAAGAAGTACAGTAATCCAAAGTCTTAAAATGTTACTATTTTTTAAATCAAATTTGTCTTCATCTAATAATCAAGTCTATTTTATAAGTATGGTTAAGGATGTACTTAAATGGATATTCCTAAATGTACAAAGAGATGATATTAAAAATCCCATTCAAAGGGATAAGGTAAAGACTATTAAAAGCTATCCTCTTGAGGGTTGGATAGTCAAATGAAATATGAAAAAAGGTTAAAATGATGCCTAGTTTGTGCATCTCTGAAGTTTTCCAAATATATTACAATGTACTGTCCTGTGTTAACTTCGCTCTTGTACAGTCCTTTATGTTGGCTTATTTCTCTTATTATTTTTCCTTTTTATTTTTTGGTAACAGAAATTGAACCCAGAGGAGCCACATCCCCAACCCTTTTTATTTTGAAACAAGGTTCGCTTAGTTGCTAAACTTGACTTGTGATCCTCCTGCCTCAGCCTCCTGAGCTGCAGGGATTACAGCACATTGAGCTATTCCATACCTTATTTGCATTTCCAATACATTCACAGCAATTGACCAAAATTCTTACCAGATTTATGTCTACCTATTAATAGGCCTGGTCAATATCTAGTAAGAAAAAGGCTCAGAAACAATCTCTCCAACAGAAGATTATAAAAGGATTATAGATGGACTCTGTCACTGTCTTTGGTCTTCACCCACATTAATCAAGTGTGTACAAAAAATATGAGCTATTTTAGTAAACTAAAAACCCTTTTTAATTTTTTTTAAAAATGGATACTATTTAAATACTAAAAATTAAAAGTGCTTCCATATTATTAAGACACTATGTTAAAACATGTCATCTATTTGTGATCAGTCTCCTCTTTAAGGGGCTGTATTCATAACAATTAGATAGGCCAAATTTCAAAAATATGAAACAAATTCTCTATACAAGTAAACTGTTTCACGGCACATGAACTTGTAGACATATTTTTAGATATTAAATATTAACTTAGTTTGTACATACCCTTTACGATCATTGTACATTCTATTAACTCTGTCCCACTTTGCATTCAATTGAGTTAGCATATCCCTAATCTGAATGGCTTCAGGTCCCGAGGCTTCAAGGATAACATCTGGTTGCTGTTCATGAATAACTGCAATCTGCTCCCCAAGTTTGTCCAGTTGGTCTTTGATATTCTAAAAAACATATTGTCATGCATTACCAAAATCCAGCAAAATGGCAAAGAATCACAGATAACCAAAAATACATATTGTGTAATACGCATTTAAAATAATAATGAGGACAAACATTGTTTTTTTTGTTTTTTGTTTTTTTTTTTATGAACAGCTGCATTGGTCAAAGTGTGAGGAATATAATGCAAATGTCAAGGGGGGAAATTCTCACTGATGTTCAAGGGTGCTTTTGGACAGGACATGAAAACCTCTGTTACTTTCAGAAAAGGTAATGAAGCATTCAAGATTGGAATTATTTATATTTTCAAAGATCTAATTATGATAGTTTAAATGACAGAAATGAACTATATAAGTTATCAAATCTATCAGTGATATTATTGTGAGTTTATATATAAATGCAATCAAATTGTACAACAAAGCCTAGACAGAATTTAATAGTTTAACTAACTTAGAATCAAGATGCCATATACCTTCCCAACTGGCCAATCTTAAATCATCTAGATGACCAGACAAAAGCTGACATTTCACTCAAAGGACAATCAAGTTTATAAGACAGGAATATGTTCTCTACTTATGTTTAAGGTCTCTGCTGTTGCAAAAAAAGTCATAACTGTTCATATATAAAAATTCATAACCAATTTTTTAAAAATAAATTTTTACTATAATTCACTGGAGAGTATAAGAAAGTTTTGTTACTCATATCCATTAATTATTGCTTGGTACAATTTTAAAAGATCTGGGCCATCTAAGTGGGCATGATAATTCTGGCTATTCCCTATGCGGTGCCTGCAGACTTACCTTCAGTGAGTCTTCCTGCAAAGAGAAGTCTTCATAGACAGTGTTTTTTAGCTCAGGAATATTAAGTGATAATTCCACATCATCCATGGTAAGTAAAATTTTGTTAATTTCAACCAGATAATCCGAGGGGAGAGGGGATGATCTCATTCCAGAAGCAAGTGGACTTGTTTTCCTCTGTTGGATAGGGATAGCCTAGAAAACATTTTTGAAAAAACAATGCACATATTTTAAAAGAGCCCCACACTGAGTAATAGCAAATTGAGAAAAATACAAGACTATTATGTGGATGCATTCAAAACCATGAACCAAAATAAAGAATCTTAACCACAATTTTTTAAATTTTAAAACTGTATTGCTATAGAAATCTTTAATAATCTTTATTCTAATTTTTAACTATTGCCTGATGTTAAAACAGCTTTGATAAGTTAATGTTTGAAAAGTCTGTCTTTAAGATCTAAGTCATCTAAACACACTTTGCAAACAGGAGACATAACAATTTCTTTCCTAAATTGTTGAAGAAATGAGAAAATGTGGCCAAAAATGAAAAAAAAAATTTTTTTTCCCTTTCTTTTGCAATACTGGGGACTGAACCCAGGTCCTCACACATGGTAGGCAAGCACTCTACCACTGAACTGCATCTCAACCCTTTTTCATTTTATTTTGAGACAAGGTCCTCACTAAGTTGCCCAGACTGGTCAAACTTGTGATCCTCCTGCTTGAGCCCCCCAAAGAACTGGGATTACAGATATGTGCCATCACACATGGCTTATTTCACCCTTTTAAAAATATCACAATTAAACACTTCACAGCTGAAAACATAAGTTAAACTTGTTTTTGAAACATCACAAGTGGGCAAGGTGGTATACACCTGTAGTCCCATTTACTTAAGAAGCTGAGGCAGGAGGATCACAGATCCTGGAACCCAGAAATTCAAGGCCAGCCTAGGCAACACAGAAAGACCCAATCTCAAAAAATAAGTTTAAAAAAATTAAAATTAACATATGAGAGACAGTGGGAATTTCGATTAAAATACTATCCAGGTAACTCATTATTATATAATCTTACCTTTAAGAACAATATTACATAGCATGAATATTCTACAGAAAACAATGAATCCTAAAGTACTAAAGTTGACAGCCTTGAGGCTCTGTGAACTACTCATTTGCCCTGATGTAATTATTCTGGATCTTCTATTCAGAGCTTTCTCTATAATAAACTGTTCTCTAGGCTGGGCCACTTGCATAAGGAATTCCAGTCCTTTACTCCTATACGATTATAATTTAATAAGTGCTATTTGCAAAAAGACAAAATATAGCTACTTATGAATTAAGATACCTTCCTTAACATTTTTACTTCCATGTTGAATTTTTTTAAAATAATATTCATCTATAAATTCAAAAATGTTAGTAGAAATGATCACAAATGCCTATTCATTCAGTTAGTGACCTTGAAAATGCTTACAATACCTAAATGAAACAATGAAACCTAAGGCTCCAGACTCAAATTTGTGAGTCAGTAACATGGTGTTCACTTCAGAGGTCTGTATTTATTGCCTCCTAGAATTTGATGAACTACTGCTTTCATCAATTCCTGGGCAGCCAGGTAGGAAGTCCACAGGTTTCCTGACTTTACCAATAGGATTAATTATACTTCTAATATTAATTTTACTATCCTCATACCATATATTTAAATTTTAGTCAGAAAAAAATTCTAGATATGTGTGTATATTGTCTACAAGAGCAAATTCTATTTTTAAGCAATTATAAAAGAATGCCGAAATAAATAATACATTCGCCCAAGAACCACTTTTGGCTTTAATTTTGGTTTTGGTTTGGTTTCTGTGGCACTGGGGGCTGAATCCTGGATGCTCTACCACTGTACTACATCCCAAGCCTTTTTATTTTTTATTTTGAGACAATCTCTTGCTAAGTTGTTAAGGCTAGCCTCAAACGTATTATCCTCCTGCCTCAGCCCCCTTAATCATGGGGATTATAGGTACGTGCCACCATACCTGGCAAGAACCAGTTTTCAATTTAAAAATGCTAAAAGAAAAAAATCTAAAATAATGTTTTCTTGTTTTTATTTCCAATAAGACAATTTGTTTGGGAAGATCACAAAATGAGGCTTAACTGTTTCATCTTATCTTTAAGGAAAAAGAAAACAACCAATGAAAGTACATATGGGTTGAGTGATAGGTCAAAGGAGTAGAAGAGAAACTGGGTCCCCTTCTCCTGCATGGCTTCCTACCCATGAACCAGGATCCTGCAGACAGGCCATCTGGTGTATTCAAGACCAAAAATGGCTCCAGACTTGGTGCCTGTAGGACATTTAACTTTGTAATGCTTTTCTTCATTGCGTTTCATTAGGTATAACCATGTGCCCAAATTTTTGTTTTAAGTTTGCTCTAGTGGATATGTCTGAGAGCCACTTTTCTACCTCAGCAACTTCTCCAAGATTAGGGATTCTGTGCTGCTTCCTCAGTTACATAACAGACTGTTATTCGTCAAAGCCACCTGGACCTGAGGCTTTAGAATGAACTGGGGAGGTCAGTAGGTATTAAAAAGCTCTAAGTTAAAAAAATAAATCACATTCATCAAGACTGCCTCTTTTTCTGTCCAGACTGTAAAGACAACCCAGGACTTTTCTGGGCTTTCATACTCATGCAGAGGCAGCAAGGCAGTTCAAGATGTGCTTTCTATATTCCCAGAATAGATTTCCCCCCCAAGAGAGTAATCAATCAAAATGCCTTGAAGAAAAAAAAAATGTCCTTAAGATCTGACCTGACCTAGACTTTCCTTCTGGAAAATTTTATTTTTAAAGAATTCTGCAAAGACACAGAAACAGAAAGACACTACAGGTTAGTATTGAAATGAGATGGTGTTACATGATATGGCTCATCACACCAAACTTGAGTCTAAATAGATGGAGTTTATTTTAACTGAGTATTTTATAAAATCTTATATAAGTTTTGTTTTTGTCAAACTATAGGGAGGAAAAAGACAGAACTACACAGAATTGACCCTTTACCAATTCTTGAGGATAAAAACTTTTTAGGTTAAAAGACATGAAAAAAAAAATTAAAAATCACATGTGGCTAAATAAAAATTTTAAATCAGTACACGTTAAAGGTAAACTAATTAGAAGATGAAAACCAATAAAATAATGTTATAGCAAATATGACAGGGGGCTAATATCTTTATTTTATAAAGCCCTCATGCATATTTCAGATTAGTTACAGCCTAGTCCACAAATGGGTAAAGGTGATCTAATACATATTTCAAATAAGAAAATGAGTCCTGTAATTGGTGGCCTTCATTCTTGACTGTACATTAGAATCATCCAAAAAGTTTTTGTTTTCCTAAATACCCACATCTAGATTTTACTTGAAAGATTCTTTTTTTTTTTTTAATATTTTTTTAGTTGTAGATGGGCACAATATCTTTATTTTATTTATTTATTTTTTATGTGGTACTGAGGATCGAACCTAGTGCCTCACACATGCGAGGCAAGCGCTCTGCCACTGAGCTACAACCCCAGCCCCTTGAAAGATTCTTATTGAAGAATTCAATTGAAGGTACTGCTGTTTTGGGGTTTTTGTTGTTGTCGTTGTTGTTGTTGTTGTTTTATTTGTTTGTTTTTCAACTTCCTCAAATGATTCTAAAGGTCATAGTTAAGAACAATATTGATTTAGAAAACTATATATCATATTTGAATATATATATATATATATATATATAACATTTGTTCTAATGAAACAGGTAAATCATTTTAGTTACAATTAATAAGGCTAATGAAACCACATGGAATGCACCTGAAATAGCTTAAAGCTTTTTAAAAATTAATGTATGTATTGAAAGCCTAAAAATTACTTCTATTTTAGATCAGTAATAATTGCTGATTTGAGATCTAAAGTTTAAAGAAGAATATACTCCTCAATGGAACACTTTCAGATAATGTCTACATAAAAAGATTCATATTTATATAATTGAAAGTGAATATATGACAATTTTAATAAAGATAAACACAACAAAATAACTTCTAGTGTTGTCTAAGTGTGGGAAAATCAGCACTCTCCCTTCTTCATTATGAAAGTATTAACTGGCATAAATTTTCTATTGGGTTGTTTGGAAAATCTAGTAAATAGCCAACGTATGTACAATGTCACTGCAATAGCAAGGAATTCTAAGAATTGATCCCAAGAGGCATTAAGAGATGAACATTCCCTGGGTTCAATCCCCAGTACCAAAAGAAAAAAGAAATGAGCATATAGATACATGTAAGATGAATGAGAAATGGCGTGGCGTCTCCAGGAAGTACAAGGGGAGACAGATACTTTAAAAAGTCCCAAAAAAACAAATTACTCTGATAAAATCTGATACGTGTTAGAAGTGAAATATGGAGCTATATCTGAAAAGATAATGCATTTTTAGGGTAAAAGAAAAAGACAAAATCACTCCAGGAAGTAGGAGTAGACTCAGAGTTGCCAAGGTGGATAGTGCGTTTAGGAAAACGTAAAGAAAAACCAGCAAAGCTCTCTACGTGGGGAGGGACAGAAAGAAGACGTAGCCTTGAGATGATGTTATACTGATGACGATTGCACTTAAAGCCTCTGTATTTTGCAATCTTTCTGAAGGTAAAGGTATGGCACAATCAGCTATAACTTTGGGGAAAATAATTCTGAAGAAAATAAGAAGGATTGCACCAGAGTAAGAAAAACTGAACATAAAAAAAACCTGAAGGGGACACATTATAACAACTGGGGAGAAAACCATTGGTCTGGGAATAACGGAAAAGTATAGTGAACTAAGAGATGTTAAGGTACTTTCCCACGGTCCTATAATAAGGATTGAGTGCTGACTTCAAGTTCAGACCTACATCTGCTTCATTCAGTCCCATGGTTTTGTCCCCTGCTTGACGTGGAAGAGGAACATGGTATGTGGGATCAAGAAATAGCTGAGTGATGCTAGAGTCTGCCGTGAGAGACTGGCTAGTTTTTAAGGTCATTGACTGAGGTAGAAAATAAATCAGGAAACATGAGGGTATGGGGAAAGGGCAGTCACTTTGAGGCATATCACAAGGCTGCATCCAGTAGCAAGCCACATCTACACTGGAATCGATTCAGAGTCCAAAATCGTCAAAGCAAACCAATTCCTTAGGAGTTTCCATAGAGTAGACCCTTTGGGATCACCAGACCCAGTTATGATGCAGCACTGTCAACTAAAGGCGGATCCTGTTCTTGAATATAAATCACAGTACATCAGTTTCATCTGGTTATTTATGAACTAAAAAAATTTTTGATGTGCCCAATACCTCCACATATCAAATGCAGAACTGAAGGAGAAAGTCACTTCAGAAAAGGACTGATTTTTTTTTTCTACGTTTCATATATGATCAGAAAAGACCACTAATAAGGTTTTATTCTTCTACTTCTTTGACTCCTGCCTCATCCAAAAATATCAGTCTATCTAGTAAAATGTATTAAAGGAGGAGATAATATCCCAACAGGTTTCTTTTAAAGCATCCAAGAAATTGGGTTGTTGAAATCAAACAACCCAATGGCAGGAGCTGAATAAGTTTTGTAAATGCAACCAGGATTCTCCCATCAGACCTTAATTTTGTTGTATCTTGTGTGCAAAAGTAACAACTGCAAACGGATCTTTTCTTTCCTATTGTCCTCCATAGGCTGATGGAGCATTTGTTCTCCTCTTCGTAGAACTTCCTCAATCTGGGCTCTCTCCTCGTCCATCTGAATGTTTAAAGGAAAAAAATGATTCAAAAGAAAAAATGCATAGTTATTTACTATCGTCAGCAAGTGAGAGAACTAACATATGAAGTACAGCAGAAGTCATCATAACCTGAATGATAAAAATAATTCATGTTTCACTTAAAATACTTCATACTTGAAATTAAAATATCCCAAAGCTAGTTTAGCACAAGTTACGCTAAGGATTACATAGTCAGCATGTGGGTGGGGTGGAGTTAAGCATGATTACATAAAGCACTTGACAAATCTTACACTGACACTTAGAAAACCTGGATTTCTTCAGTCATGATTGGCAGGTTATGTGGGTAAAAATATAATTAAAAGAGAAGAAAAAAAATGAGACTTCGGTTTTACAAATCCCCTCCAACCAACCTTTTCATTATCATCACTGGATTCCGAGTGTTTTTCCACAACTTTTAACATGCTTTCTATGTCATTTTCTAATTTGTCCAAGTCAGAGAAAGGCACACCAGCTTCAAATGCTTCAGTGGTAACCAAATGTTGGTACGACAGTGGCCCTTGACCAATAAGCAGCTGTAGAAGAAAAGGGGATCTCTGAAGATGTATTCTTAACTTTCCCCGAATAACCAGAGACAGGATGTCAAGAGAGGAAGGATCATTTATTGGAACTGACTTTAATTTCATTCATTCATATAGCAACAATTTTAACCACATGGGCTTCTGTGAATGACCTATTTTCTCCAAAGTCTAGCAGAGATGTGAGGTAGCGTGTAATTGACTATGGCTGTGTACTGGATCCTGAGAGCACATGTGAGCATAGTAGGCAAAAGCAACATTCAAAAGCCATCCCTGCCATGGCCACAGAAGGAAGAAATAGGACCCGCCACCCAGTGGAAGGACATCCACAGAATGTTTCCCAGTCACATTGCCCCAGAAGCATTTCTCTTGGACTGTGATACCCAACTATTAAAAAAAAAAAAAATACTTCTCAATGCAACATTTTCAGGTTAAGCCTATATGAAAATATTTGTATTTCTATAACAGTAATCACCAAACAATTTTTTAATAAAACTAAAGGAAAATGGCACTTAGTGTTGGCTAAGTGCAGGAAAACTAACACTCTCATAACCTCATTATGGAAGTATTAACTGGTCTAAACTTTCTAATAGGCTGTTTGGAAAAATCTACTTAACAGTTAGATGCACAATTTTGCTACAATTACAAGGAATTCTAAGAATGAATTGACCTCAGTGACATAATAAGAGAAGAACAAATAGATAAGTCTAAAATTATCTTAACAAATGTAATACTCATAAAGGCTCAATGAAAGTGGAAAATGAACTTAGAAAATCTTAACAGATCACCTGATGAAATACTCTGTGACCATTAAGAATCATGTCAAAGGAGAATATGCAAAACAATCAAAAATTGATATTTAAGTGTCTCTTATGAATAAAAGAAGATATAAATGGCAAAAGATTTGCAGAGGTTATTCATAGGGATGATGAAATTTTTCTTTGTATTTCCTGTTACTCTACCCTGTCGTGTTCATTGTTTTTTATACCAAGAAAATCTCCCATAAATCTATTGAAAAGAATAAATTTAGATCATATAGTAAGGAGATAAGAAAAACAAAAGCCAAAGCAAGATTTTTGTTTATTTTCTTTAAATTGTGAATAATCTAAGCATATTTATAACTATAAAAGATAATTTGGCTTACTCTATCATATATTTCAAATTAAAGCAAGGTTAGATAATTTTTATTCCCCCCACACACACACAAAAAAAAAATGTGTATCTGTCTTCATTGATAATCTCAATACACAACTCTCTAAAGGTTAACAATATAAAAATGCTCTCCTGAAAAGAAACTGAACAAGAACATCATAGAAAAAGAAATACAAATGGCCAACAAATATGTGAAAAAAATGTTAAACATCTCTAGCAATTAGAAAAGTGCACATTAACACTACACTGATATCCCGTCTCACTCCACTCAGAATGACAATTATCAAGAATAAATAAATGTTGGCGAGGATGTGGGGGAAAAGGCACACTCATACATTGCTGGTGGGACTGCAAATTGGTGCAATCATCTGGAAAGCAGTATGGAGATTCCTCAGAAAACTTGGAATGGAACCACCATTTAATCCAATTATCCCACTCCTCAGAATATACTCAAATGACTTAAAATCAGCATACTACAATGTTTATAGCAGCTCAATTCACAACAGCTAACCTATGGAACCAACCTAGGTGCCCTTTAACAAAGGAATGGATAAAGAAAATCTGGTATATATACACAATGGAATATTAGTCAGCCATAAAAAGAATGACTTTAGACTTTTGTGAGTAAATAGATGGAACTGGAGATTATCATGCTAAGTGAATTAAACCAATCCCCAAAAGCCAAAGGTTGAATGTTCTCTCTGATCTGTGGATGTTAACACACAATAAGGTGGAGGGAAGAATCGAAGGTTTATGTATTAGACAAAGAGAAATGAAGGAAATGGAGGGGAGATGGAAATTGGAAAGACAGTAAGATGAATCAGACATAACTCTCCTATGTTTATATGTGAATACACCAACAGTGAAACTCTACATCTTGTACAACCCGGAGAATGGGATCCTAATAGAATAAGTTATACTCTATGCATGTATAATACGTCAAAATACACTCTACCGTCATCTATATCTAAAAAAAACAAGTGAAAAAATATTAATATTTTAAAAGATGCCATCCTATGGGCACAAGCCAAGATCCTGAAAAACACAGACTCCTGTGATTCCTGAGAATGGCACATGGTTTAGACAACCCTGACCTCAGCTCAGCCTTTCCCCCACCAAACCATCAAAATATGCTCATCTTTTCCACTTAACACTTACTGAAGCATCCACTCCTTAAAGCACAGCAGTCGAATGCTGCCTTTCTTTCCCTTATAAAACAAGAATACAGAGAGAAAATGGGAAAGACACAGAGGCACAGCATCACACCAGAGAACAGATGAACACCTTTTTACAGAGAAAAGCTCTTACTTATCTCTTTTAAAATTCATAAACCCCTTCTTTAAATTTATTAAGGCAAGCAGTACACCTCTCCGTAAAAATCTAAACTCTGAAGTTACTTGCAATTTTTGCATTTGTCTATGTGTAAGCAAAAAAACAACTGTGTTCAGTTCATATGACAGTATGACTATGAAATTATGGGTTTAATATTCATGCCTTCCTTGGGAATTAGTCTCATTATTTCATAGTTAATTTTAACTTCGAATTGAGTGTTTGAAAACTTTTCTCAAACGGGTTGCTTTCTTCAATGATAATTCCTTGTTTTCTCTCTAGAGGCACAATCATGAATAAAAGGGACAAATGTTCCATTCACAGAAAAAAGCAATTAAAGTCATTTTAATTTTTAGAAATTATGTATATGCCATATTGCCATCTATCATTTAGACACATTCCCATAAGGAAAAAAAATGGTTTTCTCTAAAAATTTAATAACTTACTTTGGCACTTTTGATATGTTGAGACACCTTTTCATAGTTTCTATTCAGTTCAGCTAATTTTGGCTCCACAAGCTCCCTGCTTGCAATTCCACGTGCATTCATCAAAATAATGGCTTGATCATGGACATTTTCAACCTGAAGGTTGGCATCATCCAGCTCAGATATTAAACGCTAATTGTAAAAAGAAACAAAAAAAAAACACAAAATTATCCCATGGGAAAAGTCAAAATCTAACTTGTGTGTGATGCTTACTCAGAATTAGAGGTGGTTTAAGTAAATATCTGGGACTCCTAATAAGAATCAGCACAATCAACCAGAGTAAGAGCTGTTCATATAAAACTTATTGGTGATTTCAGCTTTTCCCACCAACTAAATGTTAATAAATCAATTGCGTGAGAATAACTTGAACACAAGTAGCTCAAAGCACCCACAAGAGAAAAGACATTGGCAAAACGTTCTACCCCCTGCCAAGTGTGGCTGATGTGTCTAGACTTGGTACCTTCACGATTTCTTCCCGTTTATTCGCTGGTTTTTTTTCAATCTCATCCAACAGAGCTTCAGCCTGATAAAGCCAGGTACTTATGTGAGCAACGTTTCCATCAAATATTTCCAGCTGGTTTTGATGGTTCTACAAAGGAATTAATAAAACGCTGACACAATCACATGAAATATTTAAGATGATAATCTTAGAAGAGATTTAAAAGACCTTCAAAGAGCAAACCGTATGCTGAATTTAAAGAAGGGTTTCTACCTGCCTGCAAAGCTCTCTTTACTGAATAAATCTCAATACTAAAAATGCACAGCTATGGCTAAGCATTTTTAAACTTGACTTAGATCTCAACACAATACAAAGTTGAAGAATAAAAGACGAAAGTTTCTTTTTCAATTTCAAGTTTGTCTCTCATTCCTCTTTCCTAGATTGCAACTGATCTCATTATCCCTCTCAATCATGTACTTTAAAAACTCATTAAATGCAATCACACTTAACCTATTCCATTCTGCTGGCTCCACAAACTACATCTCCAGAGAGGACAGGGCCAGTGTCTTTTCTCTTAGTATTGCCAGCACTGAATACTACACCTGGCTCAGACTGCAGTCCTGTTTCCTGGGGTATGACATACAATGTGACTGAGAGAACAAAACAGAAGCAAACAGCTGAGCAGATTAAAACTGGGGAAGTTGTTGAGGCTGAGGAAGTTAAACTTGACCACAAACAGGGGGCAGGCCTTAAGATGAAACTGACAACTTCATGATATTTTATAGGAAAAAGGAAACTAAAAAAATCTTAGAAGACTTAATGAAAGGAAAAAAATATTAATCTATGACACAGAAAAATCATTGAAATAGAAAATGTGAACTAATAAATGCTATGGGCAAAAGGCTAACAGTGTGCTGCCTTCTAAAAAAAAACAGAGAAGAACCAGATGCACGGATCCCTGTAACACAGCTACATAGATTGTTCTAACAGAACTAGAAAGATGTTGCCTGGAAGGAGAATTCAGAAGGTACAAACTGAAGAATATAGAAGCAAAGTCTGTAAGGATGTGGAATAATCTAGTAACAACAAAAGTGAATATATAAAATATTCAAGAGCATTTTCTATGAGCAAGAACCTCAGATCCTTTATTGTAATGATCAATCTGTTAGATGTGTACTTTTATTCCCATCCCTACACAGACATGAACATTGAAGCTTAGTGACATTGCACAATTTACCTGGGGTTATACAGATAACAAGTCATGGGCTGGAATATGAATCTAAGGGAGAGCTTGATCAAAGCCCATGACCTTCCCTGCTTTACATATCCTAATGGATTGGAATAAATGCTCAAACACATTATAATTTATGGTTTTTTCTGTCTGTATCCATTACCCAGTTAATTATATGAACTGGGTAAAAGTCCTAACAGCTATGTCAGGAAAAAAGAATAAATTGTAAGTGGCAAGTATTTTTTTCAGAGGGGAGGATGATGGTACCATATATCCTTGTTAGTCAAGAGGAAAACAGAAAAACCACTATGAAAACTAAACAGTCAAATTCCCATGACACAATTTTCAGCATAAGGGAATAACCATACTTACAACTTATAACAATTGTCATAATCATAACAATAATGTTTAAAATTGATTGCTTACATATAGTTATATGAGACCACTACATGTTTTAAGTTTTAATCATCACAAGCATTGTATGAAGGAAAAGTATAATGATATCCATTTTATAGATGAGAAAAATTTAAGTAACCTCCACCTGACTAGCAGTCAAAAATTTTACATAGATTATGAGATGCTAGAATCCATGCTCTTAACTATTTTAGGACATTGCAAAGAAAATTAAATACTATATGACATTATTACAATGAAACAAAGTACATTTAAATGTTAAAGTACATATTTTCATGCATGCCACAGATATTTTATTCTTTCATTGGTGCAATGTGAATTCTTTCTAGTTATCATCTTTTCAAAGGCAAAATAAAATGTAGTCTGATGAAATTAATTCACAAGCAAAACACTGCTGGGGCACACAGAAAATGGGATTTGAAACTCCAATCAAAGCTGCATTCATTTAGGATTAAGTAAAGCAGAAAGGAACAGGGGAGCATTAAACGTGTCTGGGAACACACCATCAAGGTATTGCACCAGTCCTCTGTCCAGGTGCGAACTCGGCTCCACCCTGCGCTCAGGACGCACAGCTTCTCCTCCAGGACAGGCCCGCTGCCTGAGACCAGGTTCTGGAGGGTAGCACTGCTCTCTGTGATGGCATTTAAATCTGTTTTTTTCTTTTCCAGATCCTTCAGAACATTCTAGAAGATAAAAGCACCAAGACCCACTTGATCTTTCAGAATATTAAAAAAATTTATGAACCCTATACATTTTTAACTTTTCTTTCACCTATGCACAGTAATCCACGACTTCCTAGATCATCTGCAATGTGTCCAAAGTTTACAGACCCAATTTAGCAACAAGGTGAGAGTTCTTAGGTTCCTAACAAATATTACAATGTTTATGCAAAGATCAAGGAATGCAAGAAATTGTGATGTGAAAAGTGTAATTATTTAATTTAAGAATAAATTTTATTTATTACAAAAATACCAATCACCCTCCATCAGAGGTCTAAATAAAAAGAATCATTTTCATTTTTAGGAACAGAAAGCTGGCAAAGCAGAAAGATTCCAGAGCTCAGAATTCTAAAAATTTACAATGAATTTATCTCCTAGACCATCATGGGAATCTATTGCATGTGTACTATTATTACTCACAAGGATTATGTCCTGGAACTAAGTGTCTTGATATATAATGTCATATAAACATTACAAAAATGTTTCATCCTAAAAAAATCATTGAAGAACTAACAAGTCTATGATTCATCTTACAACCACCAAAACATAGAAAAGGATAGTCAGGAAACTATGATAATCTGACTGAAAAAGTCTGAAATTTGAGCAGGCAAAGCTATATTCACAGAAAGGAAAAGTAAAACACTGAGTTCTCGCAATCAAAAACAACATGGACACATAGCTACCTCACTATTATCACTGCCCTGGCACCTTTTAAAATCTGTTTCACCGTCTTAAACCAACATTTAAATCAATCTCTTCAAGGAGCTCAAGTTTATATTTGAACATCATAAGATCACATTTTGGAAAGCATGCAAATTGCAAACCACAAGTGAGTAAAAGTTTAAACACTCACTTGGCCCCTGTCAATCATTGGTATATTTATGAGAGAAAGGAAATATTTCTTTCACAAATTTTTCACCAACAAGGAGTAAAAAGAAGACCCATAGCACACACTCTGTACTAATTCCTTCAGAGGTTATGTACTAATGGACTAAAATAGTCTGTAAGAGCTACAAGGAATAATTAACTACAAATAATCAAATTTGAATAATATACACATATATGTTAAAGATTTTATAGCAAAGAAAATACATTGAAAATAATGATTTTTGGAATAAAAATACTAATTAGGTGCAGAGATGAAAATGCCATGTAAGTTTTGCATTGAAAATAATTTTACATAATCTTTAAGTGCAATAACACTAAAATGTTGTGAAATATGCACATTCCTTAAGTCTGAAAACATGGTATTGAAAAGATGGGTGATTATGGTACATGCTGATGTTTAATTTGTTTTATTCTAGTGAAAAGAATGGGCTGTATAATTTGTATACTTTATCTTCATGATTCAAATCTGTTATACGATCAAATGAAATTTAAAAGAGTATAATTCCAGGAAACAAACATCAATATTTACAGTCTTTACCTGAAAAAAAAGTGGCAAGAATCAACTAGAAATAAATTTATATGTATATAAAAAGATTAACTATTAAATATATAAAATTCAACATCACCTGTGTATTATCAGCAATTAGAAAAAAGAGAAAACACATGCATGCATTCATGTAGCAATAGAATAAATATATAGGAGCAAACCTCTTTGCATATCTATATAATGTTTAGAATAAAAACAATCAAAACAGTATGTAGGAATGTGAAGGAAGCTGGCAGAGCACAGGGGATGAGACATACCATATTAATAAAAAGACTCAACAAGATACCAATTCTTCTCCAACAAATCCATTAATTCAATGCAATTCCAATCAATGTTCAAAACAGTGCTTCTTTTAATAATTTGAGACTAATAATAATTCTTCATATAAGACTGACTATATACCAAAAAAAGAAGTAAAAAGACTGGGAAATCCTCAATTATAATTAAAATATAGCATAAAATTGCATAGACAAGAACCAGGCATGGTGGTGCACACCTGTAATCCCAGCCACTCAGGAGGCTGAGATGGAGGATCGTGAGTTCAAAGCCAGTCTCAGCAGCTTAGCGAGGCCCTAAGCAACACAGCAAGACCCTTTCTCAAAATTTAAAAAAAAATAAAAAGGACCGGGGATGTGGCTTGATGGTTCAACTCTGGTACAAAACAAATAAACAAATAAAAGTAAAACTACATAGATAAGGAACTGAAACATTTTACAGGATCATCAGATCAGTGCAATAGAAAACAAGGAAGCGCAACAGGTAAATAAGAAGAACGACTTTGGCATGTCATATCAGTAGAGAAAGATCACTCAGTGAACACTAGCACTCTAGAGCCTTATCTCATCATGTACAACAAATAAACTCTGGAAGAATCAAAGCATTAAAGGTAAAAAGATGATAGTATAAAAGGGCTTGAAAAAACTATAAATATAGTATATAAACATAGTAAATATAAGGTAAATCACATGACCTTGGAGTAAAGTTGGCCTTTCTAAATACTAAAGGCAGAAATAATGTTGAAAAGATGGATTCCATATGTTTAAAAGTACACATAACCATTTTTGTCTTAAAAACTTTTAAGGAAACTCCATGGGCAGCAATAGCTTTTTGCAGTCATATTCAACACACTAAGAATTAGTGATCTTAACAAAGAGCTTAAACGAAAATAGTAATCTGGGGATAGAAAAATGGCCAGAGTTACAGGAAAAGGGACATTTTTAAAGAGAGTTACAGGTGTCCTATAAACTTATAGAAAATATTCTAACTCAATAACAACAACAACAAAAAAAGATGTTTGCCTACTGTGATCAAAGTTGTAATTAAAGCAAGCAAATACAAATTCTCATTCATAGGTGGGACATATAACATTTCCAAAGGGCAATTTCTTAATGTGTTTAAGGCTTTAGGATAGATATGTCCTTTGAACCAATAATTTTAGGGCAAAATATTTATCCACATATGAATGTTAGCTATGATTTAGCCATGAGAATATTCATCATAGTGTTACTTACAATAGTGAAAAATAGTACTGATTTCAGTAGGACAAAAAATTAATGAGATACTATGCATATCTCCAACATGTGATACAACCGTTACAGGTGAAGGAAAATGTTGAAGATATGAATTTTTAAAAGAAAGTCATGAAACACTAGATATGATATAGTTGCTTTTTAAACAATATAACTATGCCTGTGCATGTCAATATGTACCTGGAAACACACACACACACACACATAGGAGGGGAGTGTTGGAGTATAGGTGATTTGGCTTCTTTTTTTTTTTTTCCATATCACACTGTGCAAATTTCATTCAATTAGCTTATACTGCTCCATTTCTCACAATTATAATTAGCTACAGGCAACTACGGTCAGAAAATATTAAATGAAGAATTCAATAAATAGACAATTTAGGAGATATAAATGGTATGCTGTTCTGAGTAGCATGTAGAAATTTCCTGTTATCCTGCTCCTTCCTGCCTGGGATATCCAGTGGGGTCACAATGCACACCCTCCTCATCTAGAAGTCACTTTGCAGCCCTCTCCTTGATTAGATGCACAGTTGCTAAGTCGCAGGGCTTGTGTTCCAGGAACTTTTATTTTACTTCCTAATGGGCTCAAGTGCTAGTTGTGATCCCAACAATGCAGAAAGCCAAGGGACACTGTAACATGAGGGCCTAAAGGGAAATGGTACCAACTGTCAACTTCACAAAGAAAGAAAAGCATCGTGTGCATCAAGTGGTAGGGCCCATGTTAAGGATGAATTTTCTCTATGAAATTGTGAAAAGGAAAAGAAAATTATGCTTGTTTTGCTGTCTCACCTCAAACTGCACAAGCTCCAGTACACAGTGAGAGGTCAGTTAAGATGGAAAGGCATTGAATTCGTATGTATGAATATAGGAAAAAGCACAATAACACAGACCACGGGTATTATCTGCAGTTTGGGGCATTCACTGGGGATCATGAAATATACAGATAGCAGGAACTGCTGTACAAAAATTATGTTGCCAATAAGAAAATAATGTTTTTTTGTTTGGGTTTGGTTTAGTTTGGTTTGGTACCAGGGATTGAACCCAGGGGCTCCTAACAGCTGAGCCACATCCTCAGCCCTTTTTGTTATTTTTTTTTTTTTTAATTTTAAGACAGAGTCTCACTAAGTTGCTTAGGGCCTCCCTATATTGCTGAGGCTAGCTTTGAACTTGTGATCCTCCTATCTCAGCCTCCTGAACTGCTGGGATTACAAGCTTGCACCACTGTGCTCAGTGAAAACAATGGTTTTTACGGTAGACTATACAAAGAAGACATTTCCTTGAAGAACTTGAATTTAACAAAAGCCTTTGCTTTGCATTCACCCACGCAACACCGATGCCTTGCAACATCCTTCATTCCCTCATACGTCCCTTTCTTTACCCCTTTCGCTTACAAAACTTATGGCATAACCACACTTTTTGTAAGCTATTTTCCACATTGTGAATACTCTTCTCAGAGCCTACTACTTCATTTTCTCTCAAGTGTCATCTCCACTGAACATTTAAGATAAACAGCAGCTGCGTGTCACCCAGCTACCTCCAGCCACCTTTGGGAAATGCCCACAGTGAACACCTACAGAGACTGTCAACAGGGATACTCCAGGCTCTATAGCAACACCTGTTTCTGTATCCATTATTTTTTTTTAGCACTCTTGCTAGTATATCTGCTTCTGTCTGTAAATAAGTTGACAGGGAACAGAGTTCCTTGGTAAAAGAACTGCTCTGTGATCCAATTGACTCTTCATGCACCTCTGAAAATTGGCAGATCAACTCTCTAGTCTCTGCAACTGCAAAATCACGATAGGGCCAAAGAAAAGTCTTTTGTTGGTTTTGTTAAAAAAAAAAAAAAATCTCACTACCTATTCTTGACATTAATTCATTTATTATCAAAAGACTGGTTTAAAATATTATTAAAAATTTAAAATCAGCACGATACTTTGTAAAGACTGAATATTGAAACAATTACACTAATTTTGAAGGTGGTTTCAAGTATCACATAAACATAATACTTAGAAAGGCCTTCATGATCCATATGAGTTCACTGCTTTGGGAATAAGATAAAAATATCTTCTTAAAATAGTTATTTTTAAAATGTTCTTCTTGGGACAGAAATGGAAAAAAAAATGAAAAAAAAAGAAAAGAAAAGGCTATATTTAATATGAAATGGAAGAAAACAGTACCCACCAAGATTATCCCCTACAAGTGCCAAAGGTCACACTGAGGAGATATCAACTTACTTTAGCCCAGGAGATTTCCGTGTCCAAGTCAGCAAGCACACCTTCCGAAGTGGACTTCTGCACCAACTCCGCTTCAGTAGCAGAGAGCCATTCCGAGAGGGAGGCAGCCTCTTTCTTCATTTTCCGGGCCAGCTGAGATGCTCTTTCCAGGTCCTGCTTTCCCTCTGTCACCTGAACAGCAGAGACAAAGATTGAGTCTGAGGCACGATTGAACATGAACAAATCCAAATATCAATAAAAAGATCAAAACTGATTCATATTTAACCCCCAAGACACCTATCACCTTTCCCTCGAACATGTCAGAATCGTCCAATCTGCATTTCTGCAAGAAGACAATCAATCTACTGAAGTGGCTGAGGTCAGACAGCCTGGGGTTGTGACCTTAGCTCCTGACACTGGTAGAGGCCAAGCCCTTAAAAGTTTGTTATGAGGATGAAATGAGAACCATACATATGGGAAGGACTTGGCCCAGTCCTTGGAACAAAAGAATCAATAATGAAGCATGTACTATAATTTTGAACAAAAGATGGCAGAATCCACTCAATGAAAAAAACTCCATTTAAAAAGTGCATATATACTATATTATGAAAATTTGAGAGAGAAATAAGCACTATTTTCACAGTGGTATATTTTACAGTTAACAACATGATTTACAATACTATGCAACATAAACCTTATTATTATTTTGTTCTTCTTGTTTTGCTTTGGTTTGGTTTGGTTTGGTTTTTGTACCAGGGATTAAACCAATGGATGTCACATCCCCAGCCTTTTTTTATTTTTATTTAGAGACAGGGTCTCACTAAGTGGCTTAGGACCTCACTAAGTTGTTGATGCTGACTTGGAATTCATCATCCTCCTGCCTCAGCCTCCCTAGTCACTGGGATTTTGTAATGCACCACCATGTTCGGCTTGTTCTTCTTGTTGTTGATAGAAAGCAAAACATTCACCCACTTCTTAATTCAGCTGCTGTTTGTGCTAAGGAATCCGATATGTGTCATGCAATAAAATCCATCACAGCTCTGGGACAGTCACTATTCTCTACTCTACAGATAAGGAAAATGAAGCTTAAGAAGATTAAGACCAAGACAGAGTCAGCACAGCCACTGAACTGAGCTGGGTCAAACCTGTCACATTCCATGACAGTTTCCCCAAACCAAGGACAGTAATTCACAATCTACAGCTGAGAAGACACCCCCTTAAAGGACACAACAGCATAATGCATAAAGTGATTTCTTATTTTGATGAGTACATATGTACACATAATAAAATCTAAGTAGTACAGGAATATGTCATATATGAGATGAGATTTCTTGGATTGACATAAAAGCCAAATTTTGTTAATAAATAACAAAGGAGTATATTTGGTTCTTCTGTCCACCACCCCACCCCCCGCCATTTTCAATTTCACTTTTTCATACCTCAAGGGTTTATTGCTATTAAATTCCTTCTAAAAAAGTGTTTTCCCCCACAGAGTTCAATTAAAATTTAAGACTCTCATAGCATCTCAATACAGACTTTAGAAACAAACACTTGACTTATATTAAAAAGATATTATGTATTCAAAAGATACTTATCTGATTTTGGCATGCCCAGACAGCTCTAAAACCATTATAAAACTTAATGCCACCAAAGATTTGCATATACCAGGATGAAAATCATTTACAGTTCAACGTATAACAATTTATACTTTTTTCAGTCTAATCAATACATTTTAAGATGTTCTGCATATTGAATTAGGCCATTTCAAGTTGTAAATCTTTTACCTAGCCATGTATCCCTTCTCCCTCATGGATATGCAATGACTTCTTCTCAGTGGACTGGTTTACATCAGCTCTTAAGCATACTCATTGCTCACAAAAAAGCCCCTTGTTGACCCCTCCTTCCCTACGGACCTTCCTCTCTTCTACTTTTCCCATACAAATCCTCAAAACCATTTTCTTACAGTACCGGTTTCCGTGCTTCACTTACCACACATATCTCAAGCCAGGCTATTTGGCTTCTACCGTCACCACTCTACCATCACGTCTCATGAGAAAGACGATAACAAGGACTTTCTCCATGCTCTCCATGCACTTCTTCCTACCTCTCTCCAATTCAGTCTCCAAAGTGCACTGAATGACTTTTTTAAAGATACATTTCTGGACCAGTCATCTACTGCCTAACAACCCTGCACAACTGCTTGTTAATCTTAAAACAGAGATTAAAACCTTTAACACAAACTTGGTGACACCAGCAGGGTCTGGTCTCATCCTATCTCCCTGACACCATGTTCTCCACACGGGCGTTCTCTCTCTCTAGCCATACTGCCTCCTGCCACAGGGCTTTTATACATGCTATTCCATGAGCCTCAGGAGCCCCTCTAGTTTCACCCACGATACTCCTACCCATCTTTCAGGTCTTAGCTAATGCATCATTTCAGTTATGGTTTAGACAGAAGATGTCCTCCCCCAAAAGCTCATGGTGTGAGATATAAGAATTTTCAGAGATCAAAAGATCAGATGATAAAAGGATTAATTCACTGATATGGATTAATTTGGCAGTAACTGTAGGCAGGTACGATGTGGCTAGAAAAAGTTAAGTCACTGGGGGTGGGGGGCGCCTTTGTTCTTGAAGAGCAAATTGTTTTCTCCCTCTCCCTCTCCTTCTTAGTTGCCATGTCCTGAGCCACTTCCCTCCACCACTTCCCTCCACCACGGTGGTCTGCCTCACCTCGGGCCCAGAGCTATAAAGTTGGGCAACCATGAACTGAACCTCTGAAACTGTGAGTCAAAATAATCTTTTCTTTCTAGAAGTTGTCCTCAGGTCTTTTGGTCTCGGCAACACAAAGGCTACTGAAACAACACCCTCAGGAAGCTTTCCTAACCAAAGACTGGACCAAATCATTATCCATGTCACACACATCCCTTCAGAACACTGCAGACTGACATTCTGTAACTACTCCACGTAACTGCTTGATTGACAGTTTCCTCTTTCACGACCCTCAACTCCCCAGACGGAAGATATATATATATATTATATATATAATATATATATATAATGTTTTTGCTTACCACTGTATCCTTACTACCTATATACACAGTGAAGTCTAAATTATTTTGAATAAGAAAATTAGTAAATGCCAAAACCTAATTAATGCTAAAAACTAATTAGAGAATTAATATAGAAACCAGCAAATCCATTCTCATCCTTATAATGCCCAAGCCAATGAGAAACTCTAAGACATGATTCCAGATGCACAATATATATCACACCAACAACCTGATTTTGCAGAAATGAGGTCAAAATCACTTAGAAAAAGTATAGACTGTTCATTCTTCTTGGTTTTAAGTTGATAACAAAATTTGAGTTATTTTTCTCTGGGCTTATGCAGAAACTTCAATATTACTTAAAGCAGAAATTGTTAATATTTACTAATGGAAGAAGGATCCAAAACTTAGCCCAACGGTTTTTCAACATTGCCAAGGTTTCACTTCTACATGTTCCTTTGCTCTCCTGTCTCAGGGCAGAGATTCTCAATGAGAAAGGACAATAAGCCTACAGTATTCACTCAGTCCATCACAGTAAATGGCCCAACAACTTCCACATGGAGTCACTAAAATGCCCAAATTATGGAAGTTTCTTGGCAGAATTTTAAATCCTGGTAGATTAATATGAACGTCCTGTCACTTAATATTTACCAGCTGATATTTTACCATTTCTCAATAGACTATTCAATTTAGAAATACCAAGACCAATAACTCGAGTTTACACAGTGACTATTCTTGGTGGAATTTCCTTAGAATAATATACGAATGTCAGTAGACATTGAAAGTATAAATATTAATCTGGGTGAAACATTAAAAATAAATTCCCAATCCTCTATTAATCATCACAATATTAACAGAAACATTTAAAGAAATACAGCAAAAACTCCTGGAACATGTATAAATGCCATAAATTTCAAACATGCATTTTGCAAGAATGTGAAATTTTAAAATATATCAGAGGAGTGGGGGTGCAACTCAATGATCAAGCATGTGCTTAGCATGCACAAGGTCCCAAGGTTCACTTACCATCTTGAAAAAATAAAATAATGAATAAAAATGATATGAGAGAGAGAAAGTAAGCTGCAGCATTGCTCTCCTTACCTGAGCACCCAGGTCATTGTACAAGACCTTCAAAGAGGTCAGTTGCTCATCCATCCCTTTAGGGTTGTCCGTTTGCTGCTTCTGGACAATGTGTCTCCCTGTTTTGATTACAGTCTCCACTTCAAGTTTAACTTCACTCAAAGTTTTATAGAGTTTCTTAAAAAACAAGAATGAAAAGTTTCACACTGTAATTCAAATTTGCCAACTGGGATCATGTCAGAATGCAGCTTACACAGATTGACAGCTAAGAACTAATGATGGAGGTCAAAGGGCATTTGCTTTCTCAAATGTGGTTCAAAGGTGGAGTCAAATTAAATCAAGGTTGTAATAACTTTTCAAATCAGATAAGAAAGTAAACTAATAGAGGTTATGCTGGTTTGAAAGAAATTCAGACGTGTTTTAAATGTTGATGAAAGTACTTAATAATACAATATGGATATTTTTTTCTACATAATGTGGAGGAAATATTAGCTTAAATGTCTATCATGTATAAAGTTACATTTGAGGGCCGGGGGTTAGCTCACTGGTAGTACATGTGCTTAGCATGCTTGAGGCCCTGTGTTTGAATCCAGGACCAGAGAATAAACTCAGGGTTTCACATATGGAGGGTAAGCACTCTACCACTGAGCTATATCCTGAGTCTCCCTGCAAAAATTTCATTTTAAAAAAAGCCCTAAATGCTAAGACCAGAAAAAGCCATCACTAGCTATTTCTGGCTGATTGAATTTGGAATTAATAACATTTATGTGTTTCCATTCTCTGAAATAGTAAGCCTACCACAATGAGCAGGTACTACTTAGGTATTGAAGATATATAAATCTTCATCTATCAAGATGAATATGACTACATGCAATAGGAGCATAGGTCAAATTCAGAGCAATTCTCACTGCAGTCATCTCAAACCCCAAAGCTCTGTCTGGGCAGCTTCATTTGACTCCATAAATCATCCTCCTAACCTGAAACATCTCATAGGATCCTGTCACCTAACAGAACAGTGAACCCACTTACATGACATCAAGGACTGTGCTTGTTTTGTTTGCCACTCTATCCTATTAAGTAAATAAATGCTTACATATATGCACAAGTAGATTAAATTTTTTTCTATTTGTGCACTCTTCCACTCAATTAAATGAAGCAGACATTTAGACACTGCAGTTTGAAGACGCACAAAGATCCTTCCCTGGTTTCTCATATCTGATGAGTGTTAACTTGTCTTTTTATAATTCCCAAGAAGAACACTAAATCTAAGATCCCGTCCTCCTCACCTCATTATTTAAAAATTTCTGTTGAGTTTTAAAGTTCAAGACTGAAATAGTAATAAGGCCTTATACATCATTTCTTCTTTTCAATCTTAGGTTTAAATTCTGATTGAAACTTTTATTTTCCTAGCAAATGAATTTTTTCATATTATAATGTTCCTGACATCCATTCTAAGAATAAATTTTTCTTCCATAATTTAGTCTTCAGCTTTATAAAACTTAGTAGTTAACACTGCACTTTCCTTGGAAGAGATTTTTTTTTAATGTGTTAATATTCCTGACATCCATTCTAAGTATGGTTCTTCTAGTTAAACTCAAAATTATCCTTGAAAATTTAGCTTACCAGTCATATTCTTCTGACACCTTTCCTAACTTCATACTGGGATCTTGTTGTATGATATATGTTTCTAATTGTATAATATGTAATACCATGTTTTAAAAGCTAGAATAAATTTGTAATACATGCTAGTTTATTCTAGTTACTGTATCTCATGTCACAATGATCACTGACTTTCCTCTCTCTTATGTCTCTTACCTCTTAAAATTCCCTTGGAAGGAAAGACCACATTTCATATTTTTTAATGTGCGTTCCATGATTCCCTCCCTGTGTTTAGCAAACTCTAAACTAAGGACCATGTGCAAAAGTACTATCCTGAAATATATCAGCTGCCTGAAAGCCCACCAGGCATGTGACTCCCCAACAGCTCACCATGCACTTGTCCAGGTGAGTCTGGATGACCTCAGGGTCTACATCCTTCACATCCAGAACATGAAGCTCAGCTTTCACACCATCCAACACACGCTTACAGTCCAGCATGCGCTGCTCAAAGTTAGCAGGCTTCTGGAAAAGCTGGAATTTGGTAGACACCTCTCGAAGTTTCCTCTGTTTGCAGAAATGAAAGTGATAAGCAATTCATATCAGAGTGACAATCTCTCTCACCAAAAAGATATCAGTATAAGACATACTGCTAAAAAGCTATAAAATAAAACACGAATAAAAACATTCAGTATGATGGCAAAAAGAAGAAGATATCTTAAAGGAAATCTTAAAGGAATCACATGATTGTGTAACCTGCACAGTGCCATAAATCTGTGTCTTCATCTCAGAAATAATAAATGTGGATAATGCTGGTCTCACTAAAACTAAAATTTCATTAATTTTCTCACCTGTTAAAAAAAAAACATCATTCGGGTACCCAGAACTCAAATGCCCTTCAACCCAAGTTCAGAGTGAAAATCCATCTCACGTGGACCATTAAGAAACGTAAATGATACTACATCCCATAAGCCCTCAGCCTGCCCAGTACATCAGCCACGCCAGTACTGACAGGGGCTTGTACTGAAACAACAGTCTATAAAGCTAACTTCTAAAGCTAGCTCACTTGCTCTCTTCTCAACTGTAAAAATCAGATTCAGTATTTTTCTACCCATGTACCAATTTGCTCCTGGGATGCAATGGGATTCAATATATCACTTCCAGTCTTACATCATAAACAATACCAAAGATACCTAGGAATCAACTCTTTCTCTTTTTCTTTTTACGCTGTCATTTTGAAAAGGAAAAGGAAGTGCCTTGCCCTATTTACCTGTAGCATGTCCATCTGATTTCCTCCTCTAGCAGATCTGCCTTCTGGGGAGGTCGGGGGCTGGGAACGCTGATTCTTTCTCAACTCTTCTAGAGTGAGCTCATGGGCTGAGATCTCTGCTTGAATTTTCTACCAAGAGATTAGAAAGAGGAGAGAACAGGGTTGGTTTGTCTGTTTGTTTTAAGTATAAAAAGAAATAATTCAAAAATCCCATAGAGTTGTACAATATATAATACCATATTTTAAAAGTAAGAATAAATTTGTAATATATCTAAGAATAATGTGGACCACATCTGCAGCATGTTACGCACATGCCAAAGTCTTTGCCTCTGTCAATTCCAATGTTCACAACTTATTTATAAAGAAGACATTGCCCCAACCTCATAAGAGTTTGAAAACCATAGTTTAAATGTGTTGCTCATTTGCCAGTCTCACAGGGAGCAAGAGAACACCAAAATCCAGGAGCCATCTGATGAGTACAGTGACCCTTTCTCATCAACTCTAGCTGCAGTAGTTCACTGGCAGCTGAGGAGGAGGCTACATTAGCTCTTCTTTGTAACTCTAAAGCCCTCAAGCCCACGGCAATACCTGAGCTTCCTGAGGAACTTGGAAGGCGTCTATCCTGTCAGTCAAATACGTGGTGAGCTGTTTATCCAGCTCCCCCAAACTCTCCTGCAACACTTGAAGCATGTGGTCAGTTTCCC